TGAGGCCCCTGCCCCGACACTTCTAGTGGAACAACTTCTGGACCCCCTTCTGCTCTGCTTGCAGGCAGTCGCTGCCTTGCTTCCACAAGAGCACCCGCTTCGTGCCATCTGCCTGCAGGCAGGGGCTTGGCAACAGAACAACCAGCATGGCTAGTCCTCCCACCAGGCAACGTCAGCCCCGACGCCCGAGCGTCCTCCAGTGGAACACCCACTGGCTGGGACCACGGAGAGACGACCTCGCACAACACCTGCTCCACAACGACTATGACGTCCTTGCACTCCAGGAGGTCTACGCCCAGGCAGAGCAGCTCCGACTTCCAGGCTACGTCGGCTACAGCAGCCGGACGAGCTGCACCCTGACCGACTGCAGTGCTGCCCCTTGCCTGGACGACAACCACCCACAAGGACCTTCCCGCTGTGCCATCTACGTCAAGCGGGACCTGCTGCAGGCGGAGGTATTCGTGGCCGACCTGGCCGGAGGGCCCTTCGAGTGCTGCGCCGTCCGGGTCCGCCTCGACGGTGTTGACACTGCGGTGGCCAGCGTCTACATCAGACCAAAGGAACCTTGGGACCCCGGGTGTCTTCGGCAGCTTGCGCACCAACTAGGGAAGGACTTCCTGCTGTGTGGAGACGTCAACGCTCACCATCCAGCTTGGGGCGGCCGCAGGACCGATGTACGAGGGCGAGAGGTGCGAGACGTCCTCTTGCAGCTGGGCCTGGTGATCCTGAACACAGGGGCCGTCACCTACCTGCGTCGCGGAGCAAACAGCACCACCACAGCCATAGACCTCAGCGTGGCTACGGAGGGTTGCCGGTACGCCTGGACACCGTTCCCGGACACCTGGGGCTCGGACCACCTGCCCATACTTCTCAGCATTTGCCCGAGCAACTCCGACATGTCGGGCCAAATACGAAGGGGTATACACGGTATGCAGTGCATGCGGAGAGAAGGGAACTGCAGAACACTTGATAATGTTATGTAAATGGCTTCACCCTATAGTTTAAAATGATGGCGCAGAGTTTTTCAAAGCACCGGGGGAGGGCAAAATATACTTTAGGCGGGTAGAATCAACTAGAAGGTGGTTATCTTATTGGTGGCTACAGTCAAAGCAAGAGTGAAAACTAAACCATTCACTGCAAAGCGCCGGTCCTATACTTCACTATTTAAGGGGGACAAAATAAAAAGATAAATCTAGTTGTTGTTTAGCTAAGCATGTCCGATGTGAAGGGTACAGCCACATTCATCAGCCAGCGCCGAGTTCCTTCTCTGCCACGCCCACTCATTTGTTTACGAAATTGGGGCATTCATTTCTTGAGAGCGCAGGGCAGGCCCGTTTCGAGACTGTAGGAGGAGTGAATGTAGATTGAAGTGCGCGATGCGGTGAAAAATGTGCGGAAGCATTGATGCAAGAAAAGATGGGGGAGAATGTATAGACGCATGTGACATTAGCTGTAGAAGCGGAAAAGCGTGGGGGCGGGCTGCATGCTAATTATTGCCCCAACGCAAAGTATCAACAGCCCCCATGGAAAGGGAAAAAAAAAAATAAGCTGTGCGTACGCATAACAGGGGTACCACGCAGGTGATTTATATAGTGTACAAAGAAGTACGAAACTCAGTAAAGAAAGGCGGTCGACAGGGGGTATGGGCATTTCCTGTTTTTTACCACCGAGTGCTCCGTTTGCGCGTCGCCGAAACAAACATAGCCAGGCCGGCCAGCAAACGACACTGCTCGGCTTGACGTTTACATATCACACGGTGTAGCGGAACACTGTGTTCTCTTCGAAAGAACAAATGCGCCTGTGCTAGGCACAAATGAGTGGTGCGTTCCATTAGGAATATGGTTGGAAACTTACGTTAAATGAATGAGTGGACGCACCCTTTATTTCCGCTTGGTTTCGTGACGTGATGGACGGCAGCGAGCGTTGCAGTGTAACCGATACACATGTAACTGAGCGGTTGACGTCGGTCAGAATGTAGAAATGTGCAGTTTTCTGCGCGAAAAAGGAAAAGGGGGATGGGAGAAAAAATAATTGTTTGACGCTACCGCAGCTATCGTTATGGTGCGTCGTAGCGCCGCTAGAGATGCGTAGCATGCCAAGGGGAAGTCCGCGTTTAACTCGTCGTGAGCAAATGAATATAACGAGAGAAAGGACATCGCCAAAGAAAGAAAACAGCGGTGACTCACAATTAAGGCTGAACCAGCCAGAGTTGGCTGGCATGTTATCGTGGCCTTGGATGTCGTTTGGATCGCGGGGCTTGTCTGAGTACTGGTGCACGCGTTCGGCTGCAGCCGCCTTTCGTTCAGCAGGGATGATGGTTCGCGGTCAGTGGCCCTGTTTAAATAGATGCGAAGCCTAGTTAAAGTTGTTATCTACGCAGAATCGCCACACTTCATGTACCATTAGAACCGTGTCGTAGATGCGGTGCGGGAGGACTCAGTCCTAAATGGTGGGTTAATTAATTAAAAAAAAAGAAAAAAAGCGGCTACTCAGGATTCGCAGTTGGACTGGATGCGAACCAAAGGTGGCAGTTTGGTTGTTGGGTTGCGATTGCCGCGGGCGTGTACCTGCACAATGCGGCCGTCGTTTGTAAGATGATTTCATTTGCGGAGGTTAGTGAGACCAGGCTGTGTTTTTATTGATGTTTCATTTCAGGATACCAACCGCGGCTTTTTCGAACGGCTTGTGGGTGTTTTGTGAGATCTTTTTAGATTACTGACTATGTTCAGCGGCTCGACAGTGCATTTGTATGAAGCCTTCAAGCGCGATCATTTTGTAAATTTGCATCGTGCGTCCCTGCCACCATGGGACCGCTCATGATTGTGAAAGATGAAACTGCGACCGCTTGAACACACTTGCACCACAAAAATGGCACGCGCAGTTTGGTATTGGTGCACGTGAGAAGGGAATACAATAGATGGGCATTGGCGCGCATCTTTTTCTCTTATTGATATGATATATAAGGATATGTCGGCGCACCATTATGGCACCGGCTACTCCTTAGCCGTTGAGTGAAACTTGAACACGTATCTTGAAGCAAAACATACAAAGCAGTGCATGGAAAGTAGAAAACTCGGGCAGAAATATGCAAAGACACACTTACACTTATACACACATATCAGAACACAATGGTAAGTAAATGTTCGAAAGTCAATGAATGAAGTCTCTGATAATGTCCCTCGTTAATATTCGGTCCACCAGCACAAAACAGTGGAGCACACGTCTGGTCCTTATAAAGATGCATTCGCTCGTGTGTACATAATTGTCGACACGTCATTCATTTCACAACACACACATGATGGGAGTCACGTGATACTGTACATAATAAGTACATTTGTTACAAATGAAAGTTCGTTATTTCTTAATACTTATCAGCAATCCCGCTGTCTTGTAAAGAACGTGTTGATGCTTTTAAAGCGTGCGACTGTAAAACTCGAGTAGGCCACGGACCCAGAAGTTTCTTCATGTTAAACGGTCTGCGGTCTAATGCCAACTGTTCGGACTTAAGACGGCGTCTCGTGATGTGGACATTCTACGAGAAGGTGACATACGTCTTCATCTATTAATCCACATTCGCATTCGGGACTTTCAGCTCTGCCGTGTCTGTGCAAAAAAAAAAAAAATGTTTTGTGTATGTCGTGCCTAGCCTCAATCGGTAAATTAGAGTTTGCGATATTCTATCTAATGCCAGCGTAATTTTTAATTCAATAGATGGATCGATGTGGTATAAATCGCACCTCTTTGTACTTTGGTCAAACCAAGCAGTTTTGCTCATTCTGAAAGTTTTATTCTTTATAATACTACGCAATTCACTTTTTTCGAAATATTGGTTGCCACGATGTGTAGACCTACTTTGTTTGCTCTGGACGGCAGATATCAGGCGTAATGAAGCTAGGAACACATGTGAGCCTCGGAAAAAGAAGTGCGAATAAGAAAGGCCAACTGCAAATCCTCTTTGCACAGCTGATGCCGTCCGGATAGTCGTTGATAGATTACTTAACAGGTTGTCAGCCTCCGAAGGTATTATGTAAGCGAAAGTACGCATGCGTAAAACATGCAGCGAACGAACACTCTTCCAACGCTGTAAAGAAGAAAGAATGCATAAAGGGTGGTGCATTTTACGCTCCAATATCGTCCTATGTAAGGCGCTTTAGAGTTAGGGCTGTTTTGCCTGTAATTGCGTGACCCTTGCAGGGTTCCTCACAGTGCAACCGTGCACTTGAAACAAGATGGGGAAACTTCGCTGCGACCGGACCGCTTGACAGTCCGTGTTTACGGGAGGAGAGGCGCGCCCGAGAGGAGGTGCGCTCTCACTCTCTGCCGTCCCCGTGAATGCTGAAATGAGCGCGGTCGCGTTGCGTGGCTTCGGTGAAACTGCCGTATCGCGATATGTAGTGGAGCTGCCACAGTAAAATTTGGGACACGCGTAGCCAGCCGAAGGTGCTGTTACTTTGCCGAATTTCACGTGCCGGCGTCCACAACAACGCGAGCACGCTTTGTTTAGAAATTCCCGGCCATGAGGCCGTGCCCGGACCGCGTGTGTTAGTCCCTTGGTTTGGCGACAAGGATGGCGTCAAAGTGACGCCGTGAAACGGGTTTCGTGCGTGCAAATGAGGCATTGATGTGATTAGAAAGAAAGCGAGAACATAGAAAAGAAAAAAAAAAGAGGGAGGGGGCACAGGCCGGGGACGAGTAGTCGCAAAGTGTTAAGTGTGCAGTTTATTTACGTGCGGCACACAGGTGAGCTGTTGCAGCTGTGAGTTTTGACAAATATTGCGTGTGTCATGTTCAGTGGACACGATGAAACGTTTGTTTTAGCGAACGCGTTGTATCCGCTGTGCATGAATTGTCGCTTACTCGGTTTGATGTCTCCTTGCCGCTGGGGCAGCTGATACGAGTGATACGCCATTTTGCAGCAGTGAAGGGTGCGTGAATGAATGGCCAAGAAACTTAGCAACAGTAACGAGAAAAGAATTACAAACAAACAAACGAAAGCACGTTTGCCGTGTATATTCAATCTTGTAGTGCAGAAAAATAGTCAGTGCAGCAACCTGCGCGGCCAACGCGCTCCTCGCGAAGAAAAGAGGGAGAGAGAGACGAGCCGGCCGCCGACCAACCGGCGTGCGCCGTTCGCCTTCCTCCTCAGTCTCGCGGGTCGGCGCCGACACCACGACTCGATCGTGTGGAGCATTCGCTTTCCGGGCGCGTTTCGAAGCAGAAGCAGAACTTCGGAAGCCGTCATGTCTGGCCGTGGCAAAGGTGGCAAGGGGTTGGGGAAGGGTGGCGCCAAGCGTCATCGAAAGGTGTTGCGTGACAACATCCAGGGCATAACCAAGCCGGCCATCCGTCGTCTGGCGCGCCGTGGCGGTGTCAAGCGCATCTCTGGCCTCATCTACGAAGAAACTCGCGGCGTTCTCAAGGTGTTCCTCGAGAACGTGATCCGCGATGCCGTCACTTACACCGAGCACGCCAAAAGGAAGACCGTGACAGCCATGGACGTCGTGTACGCCCTCAAGCGTCAGGGCCGCACCCTGTACGGATTCGGAGGCTAAGAAGCCAGCGGCGTCGCCTGCAGCCAGCCAACGAGAACACAACAGCCCTCTTCAGGGCTACCCACTTGATGCTTCGGCAGTGTGATCCCAGCGGTTCGCCATACCCGCCCGTCCCTCTTTGCAATATCATTGCGTCATCGCTCAGGTGAGCAGCACCTCGTGTAGTAGTAGCCTGATCGCGCTGGGTACTTGTCACGTTCACCGCATTTCGTTCGCGTCGTCGTCTTTCTCCTGGGTCTGCATGCACGAATAAATCGCCGCATCTGCGAGTTCTTCCTCTCCTTCCTGCAAGCCAAGCTGCTAAAACGGGCCCGTCAAGCGAACTTCGCCTAGTTAGTTACCTTATCGCGCGAAGGAAGAAGCCGAGCGCAGCGTTCTACCCTGGTCACTGCATTCTTGGAGACACGACTATGCTCAGGAAGCACGAACTCGCTTTTCTGTTTGGAATGCCCACTACACGATCGCGTCACGTTGTGTCGAAATAAATAAAAAACGCCCTATGTTCTACCGTGGGGCACGCAGACGAAGAACGGCTGTGTACTTACAAATGAAAATTGATTGTGACAGGTTGGTCGTGTTTACCGCCGTGCACTCAGAAGTGCCCCATTCAAGAACACATTGTGTACATTGTCCCGCCTAATTTTTTTTTTTTCCACACCTGGCGCTGCCAAGCTGTAAAAAAAAAAAAAAAGCAAGAAAGAAAAGTGGAAGGGGATGTTTAAACAATTTTCTGCGCAAGTCAGAAGCAAGTACACAATAAGCGCTGCCCATGCGGCGTGCTGAGGCAAGCTGCACTTGATAGAAGTGGCACTCATGTACTGTACTGGTGCTGCGAACACTGCAGTTGTGAAAGCTTTACTTGGACGGACAGCCACGCAACAATTGTTTCCATTTCGCCGGCAGAGGTGGTCACTCTAGGGAGGCTGGCTTGGCCGCCCACGCGAGAGGGGGAGGGGGACTGGCCCATGTAAACGCGAAAGGTTCGAGCGCGGGAAATTCGAAAGCAAGGCGCGCTCGCGTGAGCCTGCCGTCAGATGGCGACACCAACCCACGAGCAATGCATTTTCAAGTGCACCCTTCTTTTCCCACCCCCCTCCGCACAGGAAGAGGCGCGTCGAATGTGTAACCAAGGCGCACGACAGTGGTTCTGCTCAGGCAAGCCTACCTATAACAAAAATTGTTCTCCAAGTGTGTACCTTCATTTTCTCGTGAAAATGTGAAAGCCGAGTGAATGGGGCTTTTTGAGGCGCGTGTTGATCTTCCTTTCTATTATGATTATTATTTTTCACCCTTTCATTGAGTCCATTTCCTGCTTTTTGTGCCACATATTTAGCACTTAGAGGTGGGGGGGGGGGGATTGCTGATGTGTAAGATGGAAACGAAGAGGAAAGTGAGCCCCGAAACAACTGTCTGCATCAGGATGCGACACCTCAGCGGTAGCTCACAAGGGATGGGGGGTGAGGACGGATTAAAAGGATAGGAATAATGGTGTAGAGAAAGAGAGATGAGGGAAACCAGAGTGAGACGACATATCGAGGGAATAGGAGTAAAAATGAAACAAAACATTCGAACGCAAACACCCCGTACATCCAACCGCCATTGAGCGCACCTAGTTGTTTGGCAAGTATGTATGAGTGATTCTTAAGAGGGAAAGGAAGATAAAATTGAGTCCCGTTACTGTCTGCTATTGAGCAAGTAGGCGCGCTCAGTGGCAGTTGGATGTACGGGGTGTTTGTGTTAGAATGTTTTGTTGCATTTTACTCCTTGTCATTGCGCCGACTTGTATGCATATACCAACACTGCCGGTGGTCTCTCGTCGTCTTCGCCACTCTACGTAATGGTCGCAAATGAGCGACAACGCAAGGAGCAAGTTTTTTGGCGTGGCAGTGCGCATTTGGCCTCGGTGATGCGAGGCGCGCTGTTGGCGTGAATGGTGGCGTCTCGCACTCCGTCGCGCCCCTTCGGGAAGCGACGAGCTACAGCGTCGATTGATGTGTTGCCTGGAAGGCGAAAGAAATGCGCAGCAGGCTGTATTGTACAGCGGTAGTGGTTTCGTTTCGGTGTACCTCTTTGCAGCCGCGAACTGCACGGTTGCCCGAAAATGAGCGCCAGCCAGCATCCTGGCGCACGCTTCCGCGCTCGCACGCGGACGGGTTCTCACGCGTCGGCCAATGGGAGGGAGAGAGATGGGTCGTGCGGCGAAGCCGCTTGCCGTTCTCCGGCAGGAGCGCAGTTTCGCTCCGCCAGTCGAGGTGATCGGACGTACGAACCATGGCCCGCTCCCGGTGGGACTAGCGCCGCCCTTTCGTCGTCGTCTGAAGGAGGTGTTGGTTTGCTCGAGTGGGACGAGACCCGCTGTTCGCATGCGGTGACCCGGCGGACTCCTGCACAGGTTTTCCTCGGTTTTCGCAAGTTTTTGGTGAGGTTTTTTGTCCCCTTTTCTCTGCCTTTTTTTTTTTTTCCGAGGTTAGGCTAGCTCCTAACTGACTTGGTAGCCTCGTGGTGGTGGTACCACGATGACTACCAGTCTGCTCTCGCAGATTAGGCCGCGGGTGCACTACGCACGCGTGCCTAAGGGCGTCGGCAGTGCCGACATTTGCAGGGAGCTCGTGAAGCGCTTCACGGTCAGCGAGCTGAAGTGTGTTCAGGATTATGGCTTAGGGAAGTTTGAGGTGACGTTCGCGAACGACGAGGCGAGTCGGCGGTTTTCCGACGATCCAGTCCTCGCCATTCGCGATGCGAGGATCAGGTTTCAGGACCGAGGTGTTCGGGTCAAGGTGGTGCGCGTCATAGGCTTCCCGGCGGACGCGGATGTGCGCATCATAACACAACTGTTGGCGAGGTTTGGAAAGGTTTTGGATGTGACGCGAGAGGAGTCAGCGTATCTGCCGGGAGTCTGGAGCGGCGTCCTCATGGTCAAAATGGAGATGCACAAGAGTATCCCCAACCTCATCGAGGTGAGGGACATCATCGTCCAGTTTGAGTATGAGGGGGTCGCGCGGGTTTGCCGGCGCTGCTACAGAACCGGACACCATGCGGCAAAGTGCACTGTACCACAGTGCGTGCGCTGTGGGGCTTTTGGTCACGACCAGTGCGCGGTCAAATGCAAGCACTGCGGCGGCGATCATGGCCCCTCACAGTGCAAGGCGCGGACGACTTCGTCGGCCGCCCCGCCTGTAGCCTCTTCTTCTTCCCAGGAGCAGGTGAGCGGCGTTGCGGAGGATCGGGAGGCTGTTCCAGGGGACGCTGAGGGCTCGACCCAGCCACAGCCGGAGCCCATTAGCGAACGGGCTCCAGGAGGGGAAGAGCAGGAGGCGGGGTCGGAATTAGCTGAGGCCCCCACCCTCTCTGCTGCCGCCGAGCCGTCGCCGGCCTCGCCTGCCGGTGCGCCCGATGCCAGCCCTGCTGACGCGCCTGCTGCCGAGGAGAAACCGGAACCCATGAGCTGGACGGACGCTGTTCGGGGCAAGAAGCGGCGCGCCAACCGATCACCAGGGCCCTCCAAGGAGAGGCTGGCGGCGGCTCCGAGCGGCGGCCCCGGCAGCCCCAAGGACGACCTCCCGGTTCCGAAGCGAGCCGCAGCGACAGAGTCCGACGAGGAGTCCACCTCGTCGACTGTCACGGACGGTACCACGGGTGAGTTGAACAACAGTTCTTCTTGCCCTAACTGTGGACCAGGCAATTGCGAGTGTTCGTTAATGTCTAACACAGTGTACTCGTCCACGAACGAGGATTCCCTCTCCGAGGGGGACTCTCGTTCGTAGGTTTATGCTAGGTAGCTTTTCAGCAGCTGATACCTTCGAGTATCTGCTGTTTCTTTCTCTTCTGTGATTTTCTCTTTGCTTCTTGCCTATTCTAGAGTCTGTTCTCTCTCCTATCTTTCATCATGGCTTCTTCTCTTACTATTGCTACCTTTAATTGTCGGGGTATTACTAGAGCAGCGAAACAAGCTGAGGTCATTCATTTAGCTCGGTCTCGAAAAATAGACATTCTCCTTTTGCAGGAAACTTTTGTGTCTAAATTGCAACAGATTAAGAACTTCGACAGAACGTTTGGCACCAAATCCTACTGGAATTATGGTGGCGCACATTGCCGGGGAGTTGCTGTCATTTTAATGCCACGATTCACCGGTTCTGTGCTACGCTACGCCAGGGATTCGGATGGCCGTGTTCTGTCGGTGGATCTTGACTCTGGCGTTAGAATTGTGAATGTGTATGCTCCAACGCAGTACAGACAGCAGAAAGATTTCTTTAATTCCCTGGATTCTTATCTAGTTGGCCCTTCCCGTGTCATTTTAGTAGGCGACTTCAACTGCGTTTTAGAAAAAGCGGATCGCGTTTCCCTCAAAGGAACTCCAAAGTTTAGAAACCGAAACAACTACCTAGAGTTGCGGGAGCTTGTTCAAGAGCTGGGGCTTGTCGATGCTTGGCGGTCCCTCCGCCCTCTCCAGTCAGGAATGACTTGGACGGGGAGGGGGAGCCGCTCGAGGATCGATCGTTTTTATGTCTCGCCCTCGCTCGCTCCTAGCATGCACTCTAGCTGGCTGTGTTCTTCCGCATTGAGTGACCATAGCCTCCTTGCACTGAGATTTGCCGACTCTAGTTTAGGTGCCATGGGGCAAGCGACCGTGGCGTTTAAATCCAGCGGCTCCTTAAAGATAAGGACGCCACAAAAGATGTAGCGACCTATCTCATCGGTTCACTCCTTGGCGAACAGAACTTAGGACGGTAGCGATTGGGACACGGTGAAGGCCGGAGTCGCGGAGCGCTTTCGGGACTGGGGCAAGAGGCGGGCGCGGGAGGAGCGCGCCGAGATTAAAACGGTCTCTGACGCGATTCTTCTGCTCTCAAAGCCGTTGTCCTGCGGCCCGGGGGTAACCGCGGCTCTCACTTCACTGCGCAAAGAATATAGAGTCCTGCTCCAGCGACGCTGGGACCTGCTTGCGGGCCACAGCACGCGCAGAGCAGTGGGAAATGGAGGCTTGGTGCAGCAGAAATGTCCTTCGCAGACACTTGGCTAGGAAGAGCTCAGCGATAACCTCTTTGGTCGATCCTAACACAGGCAGTTTAGTGGAAACGCAGGACGAAGTATTAGAGGTGGCAAGACAGTTCTATAAGAACCTTTACGCCGAACCACCTCCCACTCCGTACTCGTTTCCTTTCACCAAAACTTACGAGGACCTTGACATCTGTGACACTCCTCTCGTCGAAGAGGAGGTGTTTGCAGCTCTTAAATCCATGAACCATAATCGCAGCCCAGGTTCCGATGGTTTGACATTCGAGTTTTATGTCAAGTTTTGGAGGGTTTTGGGGGGGCCTTTTACCACATTGGCAAACAGGCTCCTCCGTGAAGGGACCCTGTCAGCAACTCAAAGGGAAGGGCGGATCACTCTCCTGTGCAAGGATGAGACGAGACGCACCGACCTGAGAGCCTGGCGGCCCATCACCCTCCTGAACTGTGATTACAAGCTCATAGCTAAGTGCCTGTCCGTTCGACTCACTCCAGTGCTCAGTACTGTTTTGGGTCCGTACCAGGCGTGTTGTGTCCAAAATAGGTCGTGCCAACTTCATGGTTTTGCTATCAGGGACCTTATAGAATGGTCGAACTCTCGCAAACTAAGTGGAATCATTTGTTCTTTTGATCAAGAAAAGGCTTTTGATATTATCAGTCACAAGTACATCTTTAAAGTTTTAAAGCAGGCGGGCTTCAGTTCCAAGTTCATCAGCATGGTCAGGGCTCTCTACTTTCGTCCTAGCTCTGCTGTTGTCATACAAGATCGCGTCTCGGAGTCGTTCGGTGTGTGCCGTGGGGTCCGACAGGGCGACCCACTGTCGCCCGCTCTCTACGTGCTCGCATTCGAGCCGCTCCTGCAGAGGCTTTCTAAAGACACCAGCATAGGCAGATTTCCCCTTCCGCCAGGTTCCCCCCCGGTGGCAATGTTTGCCTATGCAGATGACCTCTCTATTGTCGTCCCGGACGAGGCAACTGTTTGTACCGTCTTGGATGTTATGGAGGGGTACTGCTCGGCGAGCGGCGCCAGAATAAATAAGTCGAAGAGCGCAGTCATGTATCTGAACTGCGCTCCCTCCAGTCCACGTCCTGTACATGGCCTCCCGATACAGAAGCGCCTACGTATCTTAGGTTTCCATTTCGAGCCAGATGGCCTGACTACCGAAAACTGGCGGTTAGCGAGGCAAAAGCTGACTGACAGGATTAAGGAACTCGGTGCCTTGTCTTGTCCACTTACAGCTAGGGCCACGATAATTCGATCACTGTTGTTCAGTTTCCTCACGTACATAGGTTCGGTTATGCCAGTTAAACCCCACACCAAAGTTATTTTGGAAAAGAAAGTTCTCAAATTCTTTTGGGGTCGTGCCTCTCCTTTTGTGGCGCGCCCCGTGTTGAAGTTGCGCAGGGACGAAGGAGGATTAGGTATTCCCGACCTTAGCGTTGTGACTACGGCATTACATGTTAAATGGACACGGGTAGCTCTTGATTCAGATATGCTCCTTACTAGAAGCTTCGCATCGTATTTCCTGAGCACCAGGCTGAGGTTGTTCTCGCCTGGGGCATTTTCGAATTCCGTGCCTCGGGCGGGAACGCCTTCTGCCTTCTATGCAGGGGCCGCTTCTACTTTGGCCCGTCTCCAAGAGGTCGACCCCGAGATAGATTTAGTTTCAATCGAACTCCGCGAGTTAGTCGATAGACTCGCTCCCGAGTTACCTGAGCGCTATAGAGAACACGACCTGTCCGAATACAGTCCTAACTGGCGGTTAATTACTGCCGGTTTCCTGGACGCCAAGCGCGCTACATTTATGTATCGCCTGGCCAGAGATCGCCTGCCTCTAAGGTTCAGGCCCTTCGCAAGAATTGCTCAACGAGGAGCGTGCCCTTTTTGTGGCACTCTGGAGGACCTGGTTCACGTGTTCTCTCAGTGCGCACTACCAGCTGCCCTCCATCGAAGGATAGCTAGCTTGTTTGGCCACCCAGGTGTTCCTTTCAACACCGTTCGTTTTCTCCATCCCCTGTCGCGACAAGCGGCTAAGCAATACGTGCTTCTGCTTGTTGAGTGCTCGTACCAAGTGTGGGTTGCACGGTGCTGTGCCGTCTTTGACGGCAGGCGACCCGGGCTTCACGAAGTGCTTGCAAAAGTACGGAAGGAGGTCTGGTTCGTTCTCCACCGAGAGTGGCAGCGCCTCGGTGCAAAGAAGTTTTACGAGACGTGGCACCGTCCGGCAGTGATTTTCAGTGAGGCAGGAGGGCAGATAACCATCAACTTCTAATGATGGCTTTCTCTAAGGCTCCACGACTAGGCCTAGTGAGCCAGTCGCCCCCGAGTTTGGTCTGTATGGTCTTTCACCCGAGCTTCGCATGTGCTAAGGTGGTCCTGTCACCTTGTCGGGCTTCACCCGCAAGGTCCGTGTTGGCCCCTTCTGTAGGCTCGGCTACTTTACTCGTCGAGGCGGAAGGTGGTTCCCTTCTTCGAGAAGGACTAAGCCGGCTTTCAGCCGTGCCGGTTTCCGTGGGTACGTCTGGTTTGCGTGCAGCGGCACTGGCCCCTGCACCAAATAGTAGTCCCGTAGACCCCACAGGACGGATTGTGTCTTACTGCACCCTTGTGGTGAGGAGACGGGCCATGACCGCAAAGCGCCTCGCGCTGAGCGATAGCCCATCTGCCCTGAGGGAGTGTCGTCGCAGGCTCTCAGCCGCGAGACAGTGTGAGGGCACGGGCACTTTGGTTGTGGTGACTGAAGTCACTGCGACCGAGGGCTGCCCCGCTGCCACGTTCTTGGGTACGTCCGCTTTGCGTGTGGTGGCGAGAGCTACCGTGCCGAAGGGTAGCCCCTGTGTCAAGTCTCGCTGGGCCCTAGTGGTCAGGAGACGGGCCATGACCGCAGCGCACCCTACGCGCTGTGATAGCCCACCTTGCCGGGGTACGTTCACTTTGCGCGTTGCGACCGAAGTTGCTTCGCCAGAGGGTAGTCCCTTTGTCGGGCCTCCCCGGCTTGTACGCCGGGAGGCAGGCCGCGTCTGTTCGGCGCCTGGCGCCGAACGGTGGCCCCCTTGCCAGGGCATGGCCGTCTGCCCGAAACAAATCTTCCCCCCAAACAACCCTGGGGGGAGGTGGTACCGGGACAGACGTAGGATGATGATGGGTTGATGAGTTAAGTGTGACTCTGGGACAAAGCGTTTCGGCGCCGCGTCTCCTTCCTATCTGACAACGGTACCATGGCCCGAACTAAACAAACCGCGCGCAAGAGTACCGGAGGCAAGGCTCCGCGTAAGCAGCTTGCTACCAAGGCTGCTCGCAAGAGTGCCCCTGCCACAGGCGGGGTGAAGAAACCTCACCGTTACAGGCCTGGAACCGTGGCCCTGCGTGAAATTCGCCGATACCAGAAGTCGACCGAACTGCTGATCCGCAAGCTTCCCTTTCAGCGCCTGGTGCGGGAAATCGCTCAGGACTTCAAGACGGACCTCCGTTTCCAGAGTTCTGCCGTGATGGCCCTTCAGGAAGCTAGCGAGGCCTACCTCGTTGGTCTTTTCGAAGACACCAACCTGTGCGCCATCCACGCTAAGCGCGTCACCATCATGCCAAAGGACATCCAGCTGGCTCGGCGCATTCGCGGTGAGCGCGCCTAAGTTGGGCTGCTCCCTGCGCTTCGGTCGACAGGCAAGCAACAACAAACGGTCCTTCTCAGGACCACCAACGTGTCTGCTTTGGCTACGAGACCACTCCAGGCCACGTACTCCGGCCGCACCCTCTTTTGCTGTCATGTTTTGTACGTTCGTGGCTGCGCTGTCTAGCGAGCGGAAGAAAGGAACGTCGGCGCGTCGTTATTACGAAGAAATGGCTCAGCTTTGACAATTCAAGGTAAAAGTGTGTACCATTATGAGTAGACAGACAAAAGGTAGGCTAGCTTCAGTCGGTATGTGTGCAGCAGCCGTGCTGCGAACCTGTGGTGTGTCAATTTCATTTATGTGTTTAGCTTTTTGCCCGCCGCTTGTAAGGTGTTTTTGAGGGCTTCTGTTTGCGTAACGCCATGGTGACTTGGGCTGCTGGACCCCGGCGCAACTTTTGGGTGCACTCGTAGGAGGTGATGAAGTTTTACCGAGAGACGAAATAAACAATTGTATCGGGCCACTTGGTAAGGATCCATCTTGCTAGGAAGCGCTGCCACTATTACACAGACCTCACAACACAAGCGCTTAACTTCAACTGAACGTTTATTGCAAACGTCAGAGTTTATAGAAAAAGAATAGTAAAAGGTAGACAACTAAAAGCACACGTGCCAGTCCCGCACATTACTATCTGTTATTCTCTATCACCCCATCCAAAACACAGTTCTTTCCGCGTGAGCGCGATAGAGAGTGCACAAACACACTCAAAATCATCGCGTGTCATTTCCTTTCATTTCTTTTGAAACAGAACAAGTTTTTAAGCCATATTCTGGACAGTTTTTTTTGTTTGTTTTTTTTGCAATAAACGTTTAGTTGAAGTTAAGCGCTTGTGTTGTGTGTTCTGTGTAATAGTGGCTGCGCTTCCTAGCAAGACAGACGAAATAAATTGTGTTAGAAGCACGAAATGAAATGCGCTAACGGCGGGTTCTCTCTCTCTCTTCTTTTTTACCTTACGTTTGTTTTTCGATTCAAAAGTATTAAATTTACTCTGTCCCTGTGCTGACCCGTTCAGGTGTCATCGTAAAGATAGACGGTTACGTGTGGAGCTTCACAGTAACTAATGACAACGCTTACATGCCCTTTTCTGTCTCTTTCGGTGCCGAGCTGCGTGATTTGGTTGTCTCTGTGCAGCATTTGGCGTTGCGCACTGGTGGCTAACTGATGTCGCGAGGAAATATATATATAATATAGACAAAAACAAACACGCTTGAGGGTACGAACAGAGCCATCGTGACTGCGAAGCGAAGCCCGGCCGCGTCACCTGTTTGGGTGGTCCTTAGAAGGACCGTTTGGGGAATGCGGCGAGCGCGCGGAAGGGGTGCTCGCTTACGCCTTCTTCTCCGTCTTCTTCGGAAGAAGCACGGCTTGAATGTTGGGCAACACACCGCCCTGCGCGATGGTGACGCCGGAAAGCAGTTTGTTCAGCTCCTCGTCGTTGCGGATGGCGAGCTGCAAGTGACGGGGGATGATCCGGGTCTTCTTGTTGTCACGAGCGGCGTTGCCCGCCAGCTCGAGCACCTCGGCGGCCAGGTACTCGAGTACGGCAGCCAGGTAGACCGGGGCGCCCGCTCCGACGCGCTCGGCGTAGTTTCCCTTGCGTAGGAGGCGGTGAATACGGCCCACGGGGAACTGAAGCCCCGCGCGGCTAGAACGGGTCTTGCTCTTGCCTTTCGCCTTGCCGCCCTTGCCACGTCCGGACATGGTGTTGCTTTTCGCTTGCCGGTTGAGAAAAACTGCTGCCTTCTAAGATGAGAGCCGTGCTCGAATGGTTTCCGTTGCCACCATCGCGCGCCGCCGCTCGCGGGGAACGGATGAGAGTGTGAGAGAGGGAAGCCGTGCGAACCAATGGGGCGCGCGCGTTGTGCTGATCTCGTCAACACCCCTCGCTCATATTTAAGCGCGCCGCGCAGGGGCGACACGCGCATTCGACTCTGGTCTCGCGTGCGTGTTGCGTGAAATCATGCCTCCCCAACCGTCTGGCAAAGCCGTCAAGAAGGCCGGCAAGGCGCAGAAGAATGTGCGCGCCACGGACAAGAAGAAGAAGAAGCGCCGCAGGAAGGAGAGCTTCTCCATCTACATCTATAAGGTGCTGAAGCAGGTGCACCCCGACACTGGTGTCTCCAGCAAGGCCATGTCCATCATGAACAGCTTCGTGAACGACATCTTCGAGCGTATCGCCGCCGAGTCGTCACGCCTTGCTCACTACAACAAGCGCTCGACCATCACGAGCCGGGAGATCCAGACCGCGGTGCGCCTGCTTCTGCCCGGAGAGCTGGCCAAGCACGCGGTGTCCGAGGGCACAAAAGCCGTCACCAAGTACACCAGCTCCAAGTAGGCGTGCGTCGTGGGCCACAGCGAGCGGCGACAAATCAACGGCTCTTCTCAGAGCCACCCAAATTGTTTGCGTCGGCATAGGGGTTGTGCTGAGAGATTCGGCTCCAAATCCATCCTCTTCTCTCTGTTGAACACCGCTAGCAGGAGCGTTGGTGTGCCGCGCTCGACGTGTGTGCTCGGGTAGGTTGAACAGGTAAATTAGAGAAGACCGAGTGCGCGGAGAAAAGTGCCACAAGTACGGTAATGGAGGGAAAACCAGGAGCGTGGTAATTAAAAAAAAAAAAAAAACAGGGGGAAGGTGGCCGCTGCTCAAAACGTAACATGACCTCGAGTGTGTTCAGCTCTAGGGGAATGATCGAAAAGAAAACTAGCGTCAGCATTTGCCCGAGCAACTCCGACATGTCGGGCCAAATACGAAGGGGTATACACGGTATGCAGTGCATGCGGAGAGAAGGGAACTGCAGCAGTTCTGCAGGGCTGCCTTGCTGTCGCAAAGGACGCGAACGGGTTGAGCGGGAACGTCCTCGGCCAGCAGGTCCGCCACCAGGTGTAGCCCTGCCAGCTCCGCCGCCGTCGAGCTTGCCGGGAAGGGCATCGGCACTGCCTGCTGATGGCCCGGGATGGGTGACCGCAGGCGGCCGCCGCTGAAACCGTCTGGCATTACGGATCCGTCGGTGAAGACCTGGAGCCGCCCTGCCAGTTGCTGCTGGAGCTTGGAGACGGCGGCCTGTTGCAGTGCTGCAGCAGGTTGTTCGGCGCTTGGTTACCCAGACCAGGTGCAGGTGCACCTCAGGCGGCTGGTGGTGGGGTGGTGCAGGGGCCACCGGGACTGGCGGGTCCGGGACCATCTGGTGGTAAAGTGCACAGAGACCACCCATCCGTGACCTCGGCTGGCTGCGAAGTCGCTCCAGGAGGGTTCTGCCGTCGGCGGCACAGTGTAGGCGGTCTACGTGCCCCAGAGCACGCTGGAGCATGTGCAGAGACAGGAGCCACTCTCCAGCCTCGGCCAGGGTCGCTGCCACGGGGGAGTACCTGGGGAGCCCCAGGATGGCCCTCACTGCTCTCCTGTGATGTCCCTCCAGGTCCAGTCTCCTGGCAGGCGTCAGGTCCACCAGTGGATAGGCGTATAGCAGGACTGAGGACGCTGAAGCCTGGTTGAGTCGAAGCGCCAGCTTGGTCGAGCAGCCATGTCCACGCTGCTGCAGCTTGCTGATGGCTCCCTGGACTCGCCGTACTTGTGTGCAGGCGACCTTGGCAGCTGGGACCCAGGTGAGACGGTGGTCGATGGTGAGCCCCAGGTACTTCACTGTCAGCTTCCAAGGCAGGTTGCGGTTGCCCACTCTCAGCTGCTTCACGTAACGTCGTGCTGCGGCCAGCGGGTGGATCAGCAGGGCCTCGGTCTTGGTTGCGGAGACCTTGAGTCCGATGCCACTCAGGTAGGCGGACACCGCATCCAGGGCCGCCTGCAGTGACGTCCTGATGGCTGGAATGGACCGCCTCGGTCCCCGGGCCCAGAGTGCCACGTCGTCGGCGTAAACAGAGCAGCGGGCCGCGAACCTGGTGCCTGTCGGAAGAGAAGCGGGGAGTCCAGCCATCGCCAGGTTGAACAGGAAGGGGCTCAGCACGGAGCCCTGTGGTACACCTGCGGTGATGTCTCTGGGTTTGCTGGTCTCCTTGCCAACTCGAACCCGGAAGGTCCTGCTGGTCAGGAAGGCAGTCACGAAGCTGCGGAGGCACCCGTGAACGCCAAGTCGGTCCAGAGACGTCTCGACGACCTCGTGTGGGAGACTGTCAAAGGCACTCTCCACGTCCAGCAGGAGCAGCATGGCCACGTCACCACAGCTCTTCGCATCCTCAAGGGTGGCGACGACGTCGGAAATGGAATCAGCTGTGCACCGGTGGCGCCTGAAGCCAGTCAGTTGTTCCGGGAAGAACTCGAGTTGGCCAGCAATCCACTCAAGTCGCTCCAAGGCCACCTTCTCCAGCACCTTGCAGGGAGCCGAGGTGAGAGAGACTGGCCTGTACGAGGAGAGTGCCATGGTGTAAGGAAAAGACACAAAAGTGCTGTCCTAGGTACGATTTGTGGCTAAAAGGACTTAAAAGCGCCGAGGGACGCCAAACCGAAACTGAAGAAGACGAGCGGAGGGCAGGTGGCACGAAGGCGATAACAAGAAAGGAAAAAGAAGAGGAGAAGAAGGAACGTGCGAAAGGGAGCTCGAGCGTGGAGGCCACGAAGGCAGACGAAGCAGTGCGCCGCTCGAGAGGACGAGTTCCTGGGAGCGTTCCTGAGCCGGACGTGGGACCCGTACGTGTCGGCCAGGTCGAGCTCCGGTGTGTTCGTTCAGGGTCGAGTCCGCCGGTGTTTCTGTTCAAGGTCCAAGGCCGAGACCTGCTGAACGGCTCCTGCCTGGGTGCAGTGGCCGGGAGCAGGTTCGTGGACGAGGCCTACCGGGCGTGGTCCTCGTGAGCCGGGGCCTGACCCTGAACCTCAGGAGTTGCGACCCTGACTGCTGGCCGCGACGTCTGACTAAACGGCGCTGCACACGGTAGCGCATCCGTGTGCCGTCAGCCGTTCCAGCCGTGCCACCTTTGCCCTCACGCACGTCGACGATCGCATCATGTCGGGACGACGGAGACCCAAACTGTGAGGCAGCTTTTTTCTCTTGCGAACTGAGAACTCTACGCGCTGGACTCGGAGTAAGCGTAGCCGCGAGCTCTTCGCATGCTAGAGGTCTGACTCTCATACATGTTGCGTGACGCGTGGCGTGTAGGGTTGGACATATAGTTTTATTTTCACCTGCCACTTCGTTCTCTAGTGTATAATATAACGCTTCTTTTGTTCGCATCCATTGTTGATGTCAATCCTTTTTCGTCCGCTATCAACAAACACAGTGACGAACGTCCTTAACCATCACAATTTCTGGCGTCCGCGAGACAGAACTAAGCTCTCGCCTCACGTTGTTTGTGTGTGGCGGACGAGGATGGACGACAAGAGAAAGCTAGTTGAGCTAGGGAAGGAGATGGGGCTGAGTGGTGAGGCTCTGCTGGCATGGATGAGCACGGAGGAAAAAGAAATGAGGGACCAGAGAGCGAAAGATCGAGAGGAGGCACGGCTAGCAGCACAGGTGGAGCATGAGCGGGAAATAGCTCGCATGGAGGCTGAAAGGCTCCTGCTCGAGGAGCGACGTCGTGTCGCAGAAGCGCAGCGGCCGAGCACGAGTTCTGCGGACGATAGTATGAGTGGTGGTCAGAGTGTTCGCAGCCCACACAAAATGATTCCGCCCTACAATGAGAGTAGGGACGAACTGGATGCGTACATCCAGAGATTTGAGAGGGTTGCCATGAGCCAAGGCTGGCCAACCGACAAGTGGGCCCTGTCACTGAGCTTGTGTCTAACGGGAGAAGCCTTGACCGTGGTAGGACGGATGTCTGCAGAAGACTCTACGGACTACGCAAAGCTCAAGCAGACGCTCCTCCAGCGGTTCCGTTATACAGAGGAGGGATACCGCACGAAGTTTAGGAATGCCCGGCCCGAGAATACTGAGACAGGTCGACAGTTCGCGGGACGTCTCTGTGGATACTTCGACCATTGGCAGTAGCTGGCGAAGACTCCCAAATTATATGATGCACTGCGAGACAAGATGGTGTCCGAGAAATTCCTCAGGCGGTGCGACGAGAAGTTGGCTGTCTTCTTGAAGGAGCGAGGATGTCATAACCTGGACACGTTGGCAACGACGGCTGATCAATATTTGGAAGCTCAGGGAATTGTGAATTTCGCTAGAGGAAAAGACGAAAAAGGGAAACCGATGGCTACAGCTAAAGTTGACACTGTCAGCGAAAGCAAAGGAAAACCGCTTTGTTTTCTGTGCAACAAGCCGGGTCATCGAGCTTCCGATTGCTGGACAAAGTCTCGAGCGCCCAAGTCGATGTCGTGCTGGATCTGTAAGAAGTCAGGGCACAGATCCGATAGTTGTCCCTCAAACTCGGGAAAACGTAGAGAGGCATCATGTTCCGTCTTGGGATACCAGAAAGCGCAGCATGAGAAATCAATGGAAGATGCGCCTGACAATCAAGATGAGAAACATTGTCATGACATGTGTGATGGGACCCAAAGCAACGCAACTTGCGACAACGGGTCAAAACAAATGCCAACTGTAAAGGGCTATCTCGAAGGAAAGCGGGTCACCGTATTGCGGGATACCGGTTGCAATACAGTAGTGGTGAAACGATCGCTAGTTCCTGACTGCAACTTGACTGGCAACACCCGTACCGTTCGCTTATTGGACCGATCTGCAAAAGTCTTACCAGAAGCAGAGGTGTACATAGATTCTCCGTTTTTCAGAGGTCAGGTGCTTGCTGTTTGTATGGAGAATCCATTGTATGAAGTCGTGCTT